AATAAAGACTGAGCTACACGACACCCCCCCCCCCCCCCCCAAAAAAAAAAGAAACACACAAAAAACTAAAACAAACTGGGGGTGATCTCAGATGCCCTGGAAGGGTATGCAGATCCTACTCCACACGTGGCACCGCCAAGAATAGCCAATATTACTGAAAGTGGTGTTAAACACCAATCAATTAATCAATCAAACAATCATATCATATCATCAATGTCCTGTACGTTTTTAAATGTTCAGCAATAATGAAAACGTTTTAAATGTTTATTTATTGTTAAATATCTGATCTGATGAAAACGTCCTCATGACAGTAAGACATTAATTATTATATTTTTGTAACATAATATTTTAAGTATTTTACCTCCAGGTCTGGATTGGTAACAGAAGGGCCAAACAGAAGCGTGGTGGCCAGGGAGTTGTTCCTACCAAAAAAAGAAAGACGGTAAAAGGCCCAACGGCGTATTCCCTCTTTTCACAACAGTTTAAAAGAGGCAAGTGCAGAATAGTATAAATAGTCAAAACATGTTTAATTATTATTTTAGCTTATCAGAACTAAATATCAAATACGATCATTTTTTTTATATTTTATCTATTTTGTACAATATTGTTTCACATGTATGCATATCATATAAGAAATATCGTTGTCTGTTGTCTACACAATATTTATATATAAACTATAAACAGTTTACTTCATAACACACATGTAAACTACTTAAGTGTTAATACAAAATTGTGAAATGTGGCATTCAAAATCCAAATGACGTGGATGTAAGCAACTATAGGTTATCGTGTGGCCTTCAACAATAATGAAAAGTTGATGCGAACACAAACTAATAAGGCGAGGCAAACATGTGTGTCAATAGTTAAAAGTCATCTAACTCTTAACTTTTGTCGTAAAACGTGGAGAGCTCCTGTATGAATTTCCAGGTGTCTTTGCGATTCTTGAAATAACGATGGTCCGTTCATAAAGTTGCGTTATTTTAAAATTTGAATGAATGTTCCTGCTCAGGCAATATCAAATGTTCTATTAAAACTTACTGGTTCATTTTAAGATGACTTTACATCTTGGCATTTCATTTCACCAATAAGATTGTAATCCCCGTTATTAGGTGATACACCCAAAGAGGAACACCTGAGGTCACTAGGGGAGAAGTGGGGAAGAACTTCAGAGGAAGAAAAGGAGGCCTTCCGACAACAGGCCAAAGAAATTAGGAATGACCCATTGAAGGGCAGGACAGCAGAGGAGTTTGCTGAATTTCATATGAACTCCATAACAAATTCGGTTGGTTTATTTTTGCAAAACCTGTCATATTTAATAAAGACAAAATTATCTACATTTCTGTTTTACGACAGCATCATCATGTATGGGTTTTAACTTTTATATGTTCACAGTTTTGTTTTTTAAAGACTTAAATTTAAACTATAATGAAGATAGGTTTATAAAAATGGTGCAAAATTTTTAGATATTTCTATGACATACCCACAGGCACTTGTCTCAGAAAAAAATTTCCTATATACCTTAATATAACATTAAGGTATACAGGGGAAAAAAATTCTGAGACAAGTGCCTGTGGACATACCAAAGAATATGTAAGAATTAATGATCACAATATTGCCAATGGAACAAAACATACTTTATTTGGAAGGTACACGAAAGCAAATACAGCAGTTTTCTTTTAACATTTTTTTCTGCAACTTAATCTTTTCGAAATTTTAACTGAAATTAAATAATGCATTAATCTTTTTTATTTTATGATATGCAACTAAATGAAGTCTTTAAGGTAGTTCAGGAGTATAGAAAAAAAAATGACAGAATTTTCTTATACTTTGCCAAAATGAAGATTTTACTATGCTTTTTTCCAAAAAATAATAAAAAGTATGGGTCACCGCGCGATTTTTCAAAGTACGAGTCGTTCAAAATTGCCAAAATTTGATTAGATTGTTCATGATAAAACACATTTTTGTGCATAAAAGGAAATCTATGAATCAGAATTTTGAAATAAAGTATGAGAAGATAGGCTTTATAATATATTTTAAGTAAATAAAAAGAAAAAATCGTGTCACCGAACTTGTTTTCTTGCTACAAGTAAAAAAAAAAAATTTCCTTATATGTCCAGTATAAATTTTGTACTAAAAGAGTTATCTTCCCTTAAATGGCTTATTTGAAAAATTAATTTTAAAAACACAAATATTTGGTATTTGTTAAAACATGTTCGATAATGCAATGAATAACTAAGTTTTCCTTATATAAATATACAGTGTAACCAATAAATTGCAAATCTATCTTCAAATTTGCAGATTTGGGCAAAGAACTAGACCGATTATTTACTGTGATGGTACAATTCAAGATGGCGGTATACCCCTGAACTACCTTAAAATAATGGAAACTTTGTATTGAAAGCACTTGCCGACCATGCAAGGGCTGTATAGCCAGTCAAGGTCGTTAATAACTTCCATATATATATTGAAAGCACAAAAAATTGTCGAAAAAAATTCTGAAAACATTATGTCGTTAATTTAGAAATCTATATAATTTTTCTATGATTATTGTTGAAACATGTACACAAAAAAATCCGTTTGATTGATATAATATAACCATATGATGACTGACTTTGTAATTGGTTAACTTTCAACCATAGAAACGCAGTGACTGATCCTATTTTTATATTACACCATTAAAATTGTATGTATCCACAACATATCATTTTTTTTTTTAAATTATACTGTACCTTGACCTTAAATGTATTTTAAAGTGCAATGGTAGCTATAAATGTATATTAAATTATATATTTATATTTCAGTGTGCTATTTTGCAATCATTAGGGTATGAGGTTGCCGCTATCGCCGCAAAGGAGAGCGAGTCATCGCAACTGTTTGGGACCCCAAGAGGCTTGGAATTCATCCAAGACGTGAAATTACAAAAGGAATTCCGAGAATCTGTATTCAGTTAGTAATAATGAGTTAAATATTATAAGATTATACTTCATGTTTTTTTCAATGGACGACCGGAGAATCAAGATATTCATACAACGTACTTGTAATTCAAAAACCTTTTAAAATACAGCCTACAATATAAGTCCTATTCTTGCCTCCATTCAGTCACGTATATGATAAGAATTATTTTAAGCACATACACATATACCCTGTTAATTTCTAGGAACCAAAGAGTATAAATTTACACTTAATTTTCATGGTGTTTGACACATTTTACATGACAACATCATGACGAAAAAGATTAAGCAGAAATATAACACTTTACAGAATAAAAAAGAGTGAGAAATTCGAATGTTGACAAAATTAGGAGGTGAATATATGTTCCAGATGAATAAGCAATTCGTGCTTCAATATTGCAACCCGTCAAGTCGCTCGTTGCATATAAAGAAGCTGCAATAACTCACATTTGGTAATGCAACAATAAATGAAAAGATGAAGGGAAGTGTACTCGAAAATGTTTTATATTTGTTTTACTGTTTTACTATATTTTTAAGGACACATTGTGTATGTTGGAGATAGTATAACATGCAAAGAGACCAAAAAAGAACTAACTGAAAAAGTTAGAAAAATTTTCAATTCGTGTTGGGGTAAGTCTATTAAAATATGTCGAAAAAAATACGAAATAAAAGAAACATGCAAACTTAAAAAAAAACATCTTAGGGACAACTTAATTTTCTAAATGATTTTTAAAAAGTCCTTTATTTACCAGTTGATCTTATAGCAAAAATTATCCCTTCTCACTTAAAAAAAAATAATGTGTAAAAGCTACACTGTAATTTGGGATGGGCGTTTATGTCTTTTCCCTAAAGTAAGCACAGTGTATGAACAATTTTTTTTTTTTTAATTTTAAGAACACGTAAGGAATACATTCGAAATATTTTATTTTGCGAAAATGTTAATCAACTTGTTCATATCAAACACGCTGTAAATTATGAGTACTTTTTTTATCACAATTTCTATATAATGTATAGTTTAGAAACTAAAACAGTAGAATATATCAGATTTAAAGTGTCTATTAAATGATAAAACTGCCGTATATCTTTGGATGGTCAACAAACATGTTGATTTATGAGAAACGATTGGATAATTCCTTTTTTGGAATTATTGCCCTTAACTGATAAGGGGAACTTCTCTTAGGCAGAACAGACAGTCTATGTTTACGAAAGAATAATAAAAAGACAGACGCAGCAGGCAAACTACAATATGTACTAGATTTACAAAACGCTGCAGACATATCGATCAATTGAATGTTAAAGTAAATGCTGATTACTGGTTATTAAATATATGTTTACATAGATATAAGAAGATGTGGTATGAGTGCCAATGAGACAACTCTCCATCCAAGTCAAAAAATATAAAAGTAAACCATTATAGGTCACAGTACGGTCTTCAACACGGAGCCTTGGCTCACACCGAACAGTAAGCTATAAAGGGCCCCAAAAAATTACTAGTGTAAAACCATTCAAACGGGAAAACCAACGGTCTAATCTATATAAAAAACGAGAAACGAGAAACACTTATGAACCACATCAACAAACGACAACTACTGAACATCAGATTCCTGACTTAGGACAGGTGCAAACAAATGCAGCGGGTTTAAACGTTTTAATGGTACCAAACCTTCACCCTTTTTCTGAAACAATAGTGTAACATCACAACATAGAAAGACACACTATAAAATATCAACTGAAATAGCTTAACTCAATCAAAGGACATATTAACACCATTGAACATACACTGAACAAATAAATTTGACCTATGACACAATGTAAATACAAAATAAGTAAACCAAGGGAAGAATAATAAAAGTAACATGTTTATATATATCAAGTTAAAAAAAAATATTGTCTTATGGCTGTCTATGTAGTATTTTCATCTTTAAAATTCTGATTGTGACATCTTAAAATAAGAATTGGCTTATTGTAGCGATTTTTTGATAAACTGAAGTTAATTAATACTACTCCTTCTTGCAGATTAATGTGATGACATATCTCTTTTCAGCATCTGTCAGTTTGAAGAATCAGGCAGTACCCTATGGGAATATCATTAAAAACAACTCATATAGAATGGAGGGTCTGCCTGATGGTGTTATTTTCAAAGACCCTAATTCTTATGGTTTGTCTACTCTTAGGCAAATCATAAGCCAGAAAGAATCCATCAAATTTGTGTATGTATTACCCGTAGAACATGTAGAAGTAGTCACACATTTAATATTATGAAGCCACGAATATTTTTTATTTAGAAACTTGAATTGCATTTTAAGTTTTAGATTTTTCTCAATTTACAACGATTGTCTATGCTGATTTTAGTGCTAGAACAAAAGATTTGAAATAACAATATAAATGAGTTGAGTCAAACATTTAGTGCAGACACTTTCAAATGCTCCTTGAAAATACCATAACAAGTGCTAGGAATATGAAGCATCTATCGATAGTCATAGCAAGGGTATCAAGCTTTATCCTGCTTATTTTGTACCAGTGTCGATCAATTGTGAGTTTTGATAATGCAAATATTTGTAAAGAAACCGTTTATAAGATAAGATAAGATAAGATATTTTTATTCCAATTAAAGGGCCCATGACGAGCAAAAACATGTATTACAATGATTTTGATAATTGACACAATAATGTTGATATAAATCATATATAAATATGAATATAATCATCTCAATTGTAAGATGTTAAACCACAGCCAGATCAGAGCCATACACATATTAGTAAAAATATTAGTCAATTATATTTAATATTAACAGGCAAATATTCTCAATGGGTTACATACAAACATATCTGTACTATTTTGATAGTTTTCTGAGTTCAAAATAATTGTTAATATAAATTGCAATAATTGTAATAATCTCTTGAAGAAACGTGACACCAGCTTCCACACTTGCCTCATCTGCAACATCATCCAAGGGTATGTAAACGGGTAAACGGACAGAAAGTCACAGGACATGTATTCACTTTTAATTGTAGGAAATTGTTCATAAGCCTTGATAAATGAATTTTTTTTAAATTTTAATTATTCAAAGGATTTTTTCTGACATTTTGTTTTCATAACAATTTTTTAATCATTATTGATATTTATTGAATAACTTTTAATAACAAAGTTGTGATATATACTATATTTCAAGAACAAATATTTATAAAATGAGTGTTTTCTTGTTCAATGAAATATAATAACAAAACGGTATTGTGACTTTTTGTCTGTGCCTTTTTGTCCTGTGACTTTTTTGTCTGTGACTATTTGTCCGTGACTTTTTGTCTGTGACTTTTTGTCGTGTAACTTTCTGTTTGACATTCTGTAAATCTTGTATAATATATGTAAATAAGGTTTGTACAAGTAATTCGTATTTTGCGAACATCTTGAAACAAGCAGGCCATCGGATGATTTTTAGATTCAGAAAAACAAAATATTAAGTTCTATGTTTTGCCAATTAGTTCATAAAGTTTTTTCCTAAACATCTATATCTACCTCAATCAACCGAAATCCATCATAAAGATGAATATATTTCTATTTTTCAAAACGTTTATAATGCATGTGCTGAAATAAAATATCACTGATTTTATTTTAAGCTTGAGTAATTTTATATTTACAGAATTAGAAAATGGAAATATTACGGATGTCACGGATGCTCCAGCTATTCCTTTAGGTTGGTATTTTGATCCAAAGTTTGTACAATGTATGAGATTTATTATGTTATCCACCTCAAGTTAAAGCTTTTGATTAGATTAAATTATCAAGGATGAATTTGTGTTTTCTCGGTGGTTTTGTATGCATATGAAAATATGAGTTTTATAAATTGTAAAGATATACAAACGAAATAACACAAACACATATCAAAGTCTTTAAATATGCAGTAACTACTTTACGTTATAACATATTAATAAAGTACATACAATATCATAATGATATTTACACAATATTCAATTTTATATACATACACACGAGTCACGATTGTAAATGATAACCTGTACAATGTATTAACTTCACAATATTTCAGAGTCCATGAATGTATAGAATACGCTACATAAATTTCATATTCTTATTTTCAAAATGTATATACGGCTTGAGTTCATAATATGGCGCGGAATGAAGGTCAAAAATACTTATTTACGTATATACATAATTCGATTTACGTATATACAAAAATAATTACGCGTATATTCGTTAATCGAATTACGTATATACAGAATTAATTCCGTATACACAGAAATCGAATTACGTATAAACAGAAATAATTCCGTATACACAGAAATCGAATTACGTACATACAGAAATATGTTATAACAATGAATTTCATTGGCAGGTTGTATTAATGTCTAGTATACAAAAATATTAACGTATATACACGAAGAATTCCGTATATACAAAACTATTTCTTTACATACGTAATTATTTACGTATATACATAATTGTATATACGGAATTCGATTTACGTATATACGTAATTATTTCTGTATAAACAGAAATAATTATGTATATACGTAAATAAATATTTTTGACCCTGATTCCGCGCCATATACCAATACATATACATATACACTCACACATTACACTTGTATAGCAGAATTATATTTATTTTATATAGAACTGAGAGAAGTACCCATGGAGGAAGTAGCCGATGCTTTAGATATTACTATAGGTTAGTTTTTTTTTATCCACCATTTGTACTAAGGATGTGATGAATAAAAAAAAATAAAAAATACACTGTACGATCTTTTTTTCGGTTTTGATTATTTATGTGTTTTATTTACATTTGTTAAAATCTAAACCGATTATGTATGGTATTTTTTAAATTTTAATTATCCAAAGGAATTTTTTTGACATTTTGTTTTCATAACAATTTTTTAATCATTATTGATATTTATTGAATAACTTTTAATAACAAAGTTGTGATATATATTATATTTCAAAAAAAAAACAAACAAATATTTATAAAATGAGTGTTTTCTTGTTCAATGAAAAATAATAACAAAACGGTATTGTGACTTTTTGTCCTGTGACTTTTTGTCCTGTGCCTTTTTGTCCGGTGACTTTTTGTCCTGTGACTTTTTGTCTGTGACTATTTGTCCGTGACTTTTTGTCTGTGACTTTTTGTCGTGTAACTTTCTGTTTGACATTCTGTAAATCTTGTATAATATATGTAAATAAGGTTTGTACAAGTAATTCGTATTTTTCGAACATCTTGAAACAAGCAGGCCATCGGATGATTTTTAGATTCAGAAAAACAATATATTAAGTTCTATGTTTTGCCAATTGGTTCATAAAATTTTTTCCTAAACATCTATATCTACCTCAATCAACCGAAATCCATCATAAAGATGAATATATTTCTATTTTTCAAAACGTTTATAATGCATGTGCTGAAATAAAATATCACTGATTTTATTTTAAGCTTGAGTAATTTTATATTTACAGAATTAGAAAATGGAAATATTACGGATGTCACGGATGCTCCAGCTATTCCTTTAGGTTGGTATTTTGATCCAAAGTTTGTACAATGTATGAGATTTATTTATTATCCACTTCAAGTTAAAGCTTTTGATTAGATTAAATTATCAAGGATGAATTTGTGTTTTCTCGGTGGTTTTGTATGCATATGAAAATATGAGTTTTATAAATTGTAAAGATATACAAACGAAATAACATAAACACATATCAAAGTCTTTAAATATGCAGTAACAACTTTACGTTATAACATATTAATAAAGTACATACAATATCATAATGATATTTACACAATATTCAATTTTATATACATACACACGAGTCACGATTGTAAATGATAACCTGTACAATGTATTAACTTCACAATATTTCAGAGTCCATGAATGTATAGAATACGCTACATATATTTCATATTCTTATTTTCAAAATGTTTATACGGCTTGATTTCATAATATGGCGCGGAATGAAGGTCAAAAATACTTATTTACGTATATACATAATTCGATTTACGTATATACAAAAATAATTACGTATATTCGTTAATCGAATTACGTATATACAGAATTAATTCCGTATACACAGAAATCGAATTACGTATAAACAGAAATAATTCCGTATACACAGAAATCGAATTACGTACATACAATTGTATGTCATTATATTCCACCTTATATAGAAACTATAAACTAGAACTTTGGTTCAGATCATTTCACTTCTATCAACAAATACTGGAATGAACCTCAACTTAGACACATGATTTTTTTTAATTAGTTGTTGTTGGCTTTCAACTAGCTTTCCACTTGTTCTTCATCCGATCTACAATAAAACTCTTGCCAAAATTGGGCGTTCGTTCGTTCTGTGCAGGATGTATAAATACACAGTCACGTCTGGTCAGAATGGAGACGTTAAATCCGATACCTAGTGTAGAGAGAATGCCACGCTCTCTGCACGTTAAGAAACTTGCAACAACTCTTTGAGGGGTTCGTAGGTTTACTGAAAGGCAAAATTTCTGTTTCTATCCAATAAACCCTCATTTTCCAATGCATGGCGTTTCCAATTTTCCAGACCTTCGTCCTGGACGACCCCTATTACAGGACCTAGCTACCTGTTGTATTTATTGTAAATTTGTTTTTGTCCTGAACATGCATGAACTATTTGCAACTGGACGTTTAGCAATCAATCAATCAATCAATCAACTAGCTTTCAGTAACTTTGAGTACTCTCAGATCTACGTGTAATGACCATAATTATTCAAATTCCTAAGCAGGTAGGGATTTTATAGTACAGGATATAAGGGAATATGAATTTCTTGAATTTATTTCGATAGTATGAACAGAACAGAACTTCTGCATGAGGCATCGACTGTGTGTGTATGTGTTTGTGTAGCCAGGGGACGGTGAAGGTTTCTTTTAAATGAAGGAAAGTCAATATGTACTATCAATTGACGTATATATACCAATTATCCTCAATCAGAAAGGAATAGCTATGAAAATACTATAAACAGGTTGTGCTGCTTAATAAAGGGCTACTCTTATCCACGCTGGGCAATGCATATTGTAAATATTTATTTTTAATATATTTCCGATTGTACTGCCGGCTAATTCATCAGTCAGATATAATTGTAAAATTATGTATATTATAATTTCTTCGAAATTTTTTTCATAGATATAGGAAGATGTGGTATGAGTGCCAATGAGACAACTCTCCATCCAAGTAACAATTTATAAAAGTAAACCATTATAGGTCAAGGTACGGCCTTCAACACGGAGCATTGGCTCACACCGAACAGCAAGCTATAAAGGGCCCCCAAAAATTACTAGTGTAAAACCATTCAAACGGGACATGTATATTATCATGATAAAATGACTAGTTTTCATGTTTTTTTGTCATAAAATTTGGCAACTGAAATGCTGAAACCCGTTTTCCGTCGGGGGGCTTCGCCCCCCTGAACCCCATACCAGGGCACTTCCCTGGACCCGCTGGGGGCCTTCAGCGGCCCCCAAACCCCCTGCCGCAATTTGTGCCTGCAGTTTATTGGATACCTAGCTACGCCCCTGAATGGCAAATAGTTCATGCATGTTCAGGATGAAACTTAGTACGAAGTTAGAATTTTAATGCAGCATTTGAAGTTTAATGTTAATGATTGTGTTAGATGTGATGTTTGATTATACAATAAGTTATACCTGATTTTTATTTTATGTAGATCTGAGTAACATGCACATGGAGGAAATCACAGGTGCTCCAGAGATTCCATTAGGTTAGTAATTTGATCCAAACTTCCTTTAGTTTCTTTTGTTAACTTTCTTGTTATCAGACTCGGACTTCTTTTGAACTGAGTTTTACTGTGTGTATTGTTGTGTGTTTGCTTTTTCTACACTGGCTAGAGGTATAGGAGGAGGAGTGAGATCTCAAAAAACATGTTTAAACCCGCCGCATTTTTGCGCCTGTCCCAAGTCAGGAGCCTCTGGCCTTTGTTGGTCTTGTACGATTTTTAATTTTAGTTTCTTGTGTATATTTCAGAATTCATTTCGTTGCTATAACCTAAAAGTCAATTTATAGTCGTATGATTATGTTACCAAATATTTTATTATTACAATGACAGCTGGCAAACATTAATCTTTAAGTGTTTATCCTTTCATTTCAGATGTTTTAGATTCATTAGCTGCAACAATTCATGGTGATGCTGTAGAGGAGCAAACAAGTGTTATTATACCTAAAGGTTTGTTTTGCTATCTTCCTTTAATTGCTTTTTGGGCTCAACACTGTATTGGCCGGATGAATTATAAAGTGGTTGTTTTTACCTAATTGGTGAAATCACTTCCTTGTTTTTTCCATCTCAGATCCCCGAATGTTCATAAATAGATAGCACAAGTTGAAGCTATTATAGAATTGTTTGGGGCATTTTTTTACAATAAGACTTAGTTATATTTTAACAAAATTTATAGAAGAGTGTACAAGATTCGTATCATTAACTGGTACAGTTTTGAACCCAACTTTTAAGTTGTGCATCTGATAAGCATCTAATATAATGGAATTGTTAAAGAAATTATTCAATTTTAAGAGAAAAAAATAGAACATTCACAGAACGATTGCACATTTTTTATATTAATGAATTGTTTGATAAGTGTGAGGGGTTTTCAAAACACTTGTAGACAATTACAATGAATTTCTTCTAAAGATATAAACAAGAAGATGTGGTATAATTGCCAATGCGACAATTCTCCACCATAGACCAAATGACACGGAGCCTATCTAAATTTGAATATGTACAAGTCATAAGACATGGTATAATGAACATTTGAGTTAATCAATTTATGAATAATATTTTGTTTATTTCATTTTTTTCCTTTATTTCAGAAGAAGAAGAGTCAAATGACATGTACAAAGTGTCCAGTCTTCTTGCCAAAAAGAAAATTGGAAGAAAACAGTTCTTTTTGGTGCACTGGGAAGGATATGAATCTTCCGAAGCTACCTGGGAACCAAGAAAGAACATTCCAAATTATTTCATAAAATGTTTTAATAAAAATCTAACAAAAAAGTGAAAATAAACTATCTTATTGTTTAGGGCTGCATACAGTTATTTCTCCTTTTTAGTTAAGTTTTACCCTTGTCCGTCTGTACGTTCGTCCGTACGTCCCCAAATTGGTTTCCGTTCTCTAACTTTAGTTTTCCTCAACCAAATGTTATGAAACTTATACACAATGCTTATAACCACAAAACACAGATCAAGTTTGAATTTTGTGGTGTCACTTTTACCGTTCTTGAGTTATGCCCCTTTACAAATGGAAAAAATGCATATTTGCGACTGTACATCAAGCAATCAACCACCAAGATTTAATGTATGTGTTGCAAATGATTATGTTTAATATAAACAACTGACAACTGACATTGACCACAAACCGTTGCCTGTACATACCGGGCTACTTAATCAATAGTTAGAGCACTGAGAAACTAGTCTAGTAAAAACTGGCAAACCCTTGTCAGTCTGTACGTACGTCCGTACGTCCCCAAATTGGTTTCCTTTCTTTAACTTTAGTTCTCCTCAACCTAATGTTTTGAAACTCATACACAATGCAACCACAAAACACAGATCAAGTTTGAATTTTGGTGGTTTCATGTTTACCGTTCTTGAGTTATGCCCCTTTACAAATGGAAAAATTGCTAAATTTTTTGTTTCCGTTCTCTTTCTTTAGTTTGTCTCAACCAAATGTTATGAAACTTATACACAATGCTCATTACTACAAAATACAGATCAAGTTTGAATTTTGGTGGTGTCACTTATACCGTTCTATAGTTATGTCCCTTTACAAATGGAAACATTGCTTAACTTTTCATTTCCATTCTCCTACTTTAGTTTGACTCAACCAAATGTTATGAAATGTATACACAATGCTTATTACCACAAAACTCAGATCAAGTAGAAATTTGTGTAGCGTCACTTTTACAATTCTTGAGTTATGTCCCTTTATAACATTATATCCAAGCGGGGGCATCATATGATTGTGTCCCATGGACACATTCCTCATTTATTCGTTTTGTTCTCTAACGTAAGTTAGCCTCCAGCAAATGTTATGAAACGTATAACCAATGCTTATTACCACAAAACACAGATTAAGCACACAATTGGGTAGTGTCTCTTTTGTCGTTCTTTAGTTATGCTCATCTATAATCATATATGCAAGCAGGGTTATCATCTGTGTCCCATGGACACATATCCCATTTATCTTATCTTGTGTCTGTTTACCCATCATTAAATGTCGTAAACCTTTGTGCATAAATATTGAGGACATATTAGAGCTTAAAGTTTTATCAAGTGGACAAGTTTTTTGCCAATAACAATTGTTGGACATGTTAAATTTGGGAGAGTACTGTTTGTTTACATGTTCGTTAGTAACAGGAAACACTTATGGGAAGTCAATGATACGTGGTATGTACGTGTTCTATAATACAGTTGGAGGAGCATTTGCATCTCTCATTCTATTGATATAAGGGGGTCTGACCCCAAAAATCATTGATCAGTTCATATGCTAAATCTGATTAGTTCAGTTTGAAGGACACCAGTAATGGTAAATCAACAATATTTGGTGTGTTGTTGGCAGAATTACAACATCGCATCCATGAAAATTAGTTGGTCAACCCCCTTAGTCATGGTGGTCGTGGACAAACCCAAGTAAGAAATTAACACCTCAAAGAAACATAAATAGAACCATACAAATATAACATTCTTGCAGGTTCTCGGATACCATCTCGCATATTAAAATAACATCTTGCAGAAATGCGCCTTGTGTGATATCGATCCTCTTCCTATTTTGAGCTTTTCCTGCTATCCGAAATAAAAATTGTGGAACTTATTTTATCGGAATCATTTGGCAATATTTCCAATCTACTGTTTCTTTACGTAAATCTCTGCAGCATTGGGGCCCACTCAGCAAGCTGTGTTCCCTTAAAGGATCGTTGTTAAAAATATAAATGTATTGAATTAGAAATTATTCAAAATGTTGAAAGAAATTTCCCGAAAGGAAAGTTGGGCATGCACAAAATTTAATTACAGGAATATACATATTATATACACGAAGCAGTCATAGAATGTTGGCCAATATATAGATTTGATATCAATAGCAGTTTTTATCTAAATAAAATTTATGAACGGTTGGTACTGATTTAAATTAGTGTCTCTTTCATAACAGTCTTGAACATTGAAACTAAATATTAGATAAAAGACACAGGTTGGCTGTCACTGTGCACCACAGTTCAACATAGAAACCTATTGGGAAAAACCAGAGAACTCTCTATGTCAGAAAACACTGTCAAACATCCAAATATACTATCCAGACTGATCTGTTTCCATACTTGTTGTTGAATAAATATGTATGTATTAAAATGTATTATTATACAATTAATATAAAATGAAACTTATTACTTGACTTTCTTATATTTTTATATATAGCCAAATGCTACTTTAAGATCATGTTATGTATAATATGTGAAATAATCAGTGTTTTGTTTTTAAGTTTTGGCGTAAATGAGATATAGCATTGTGGTGAAAATGCAAGATGACCGCTACCTAAAACAAATAATGTCACATACATTATTAAAAAAAGACAACTTCTGATAAAATGGATGTGGATATGAGCAACTATACGCTACAATAGACAATATTTATTTGCACAAACAAATTAACATTAACATTACATTTACATGACGACCTATAATAATAACAAAAAAAAAATACACCACATCTTGTACGTTCATGTATTTCACATCCACTTTTTTGATGTAATATTATTTGCATAGCACAAAAATGTCGGCATTCACCGCAAAAGCTAACCAAACCTTTAAACAGACTTAATCTGAAGGGATATAGTTCCGATATTTTTGTAAAGTCATTAAGAATGGCATATTTTGGTATTAATATTGATTCACTCATATAGGGTCTTTGCATCGGAAATAAACTCAACGTATTCTCAAACCATGACACGGGTTATGTTCTTTTCAAATATTTTATGATGGTATGATACTAAATCCCTAACGGGAGGGATTGTGCTTGATTCTCTGTATGAAGACATGATCTTTATATCAGTTTAATAGAGGTCTGGAGCTAGCATGTCTGTAACTGTTAGTAGTCCTTTGGTAATCTATGTATCGTTAACGTTGTCATTTTCCTTAGTTTCTTTTGTTACCTATTCTGACATCGGACTCTGAATACTTTTAAACTGAGTTTTACTGTGCGTATTGATGTGTGTTTCTTTGTTCTATATTGGTTAGATGTATAGCTGGAGGGTTGAGATCTCACAAAACATGTTTAATCCCGCCGCAAGTTTGCGCCTGTCCCAAGTGAGGAGCCTCTGAACTTTGTAAGTCTTGCATTTTTTTTAGTTCATTTATATGTTTTGGAGTTTAGTATGACGTCCATTTTTACTGACTGACTAGTACATATTTTTATTTAGGGGCCAGCTGAGGCCCACATCCGGGTGCGGGATTTTCCCGCTGTTTTGAAGACTCATTGGTGGCCTTCGGCTGTTATCTGCTCTTTGGTTGGGTTGTTGTCTTTTCTACATATTCACAATTTCCATTCTCAATTTTATTAATCAATGATAAAATATATATGACAGACAAAAAATACAATGACTGATTTATTAGTTATTTGGTATCCAACACCGAATCTACGTACGGCAGGGATAAAGCAACATAGATACCTAAAACTTGTTATGGAGTATAAGTCATTCAATCAGTAACCCAGCAATATAATACTAGTATACCATTTGACGACAATGAAGCCAACTAAGAGGCGTTCAGTTAAACACTGGTGTAGACAGAAAGACCTAAATTACACTTTACTAGATATTCTGTGTGTAATTAGTTGTCGTTTTTTTTTTAAATCTAAATCAGTAGACAATTCATACAATATGTTGGTGAAATATCCCCGGTTGTTATAAAAGAACGAATTAAATATTCTTGTGTTTTCCAAAAAGTTCACCAAGTCGTTGATGGTTTTCTGTAACGAAAGAAGAAGTCTATATCAACACATAACTACACTCAATGGCAGTATCTTTCACATGTTCTGTAAACGATTAACAAATTAAATTACTCGTTTAACATACTTTATGAGCTATATAAATAAAATCAACACCGGGTGTGAACCTGAGTCGTTGCATGGTGCTTAACGGCAGTGGCGGATCCACTGACTGCATTAAGAGGGGGTACAGTTCGCTCCATTCATGCTTCAGTGATTCCTTATATAAGCAACCATAATTTTCCCACAAAAAGGAGGAGGGGGTTTGATTGGCCTTTTAACGCATGCACTTAGTCAATTAAGATATTTTCCAACAAAAAGGGGGAGGGGCCTGATTCGCTTTTGAACACATGCACTTGTAAATGCTCTTTTGTTCCGACGTTGGAAAGTTCCGGGCGGAAAGAACTAACTAGCCGAAAAGTTCCGGAGGAACTTATTAACTAGTTACTTTGTTCTTCCTCTGGTTTAAAAGTTCCACCGGAACAAAGTGACTAGTTGAAAAGTCCCAACGGAACATATCAACTAGTTAGAAAGTTCCTTTTTGCCAAATTAGTCAATACCGAAACTAACAAACTAGCACAAAAGTTCAAACGGAACTTATCAACCAGGCAGAAAGTTCCATTTGGAGAATTGATGCAAAGTAAAGGCGCAACATATTATATTTGAACCTTTCAAAGGGAAACCAAGATACTGATTACAAAAGTCAAAAGGAACTTATCAACTAGCCACAAAGTTCCTCTTTGGCAAATAAGTCAAAACCGGAACTAACAAACTAGCCCAAAAGTTCCAACGGAACTTATCAACCAGTCACAAAGTTCTATTTGGAGAATTGATGCAAAGTAAAAGCGCAACATATTATCTTTGAACCTTTTCAAAGGGGAACAAAGATACTAGCCACAAAAGTCAAACGGAACTTATCAACTAGTCACAAAGTTCCTCTTTGTTAGGGTTAGGGTTAGGGTTGTGGTTAGGTTAGGGTTAGGGTTAGGGTTAGGGTTAGGGTTAGGTTAGGTTAGGTTAGGTTAGGGTTAGGTTAGGTTAGGGTTAGGGTTAGGGTTAGGGTTAGGGTTGAGGTTAGGGTTAGGGTTAGGGTTAGGTTAGGTTAGGGTTAGGGTTAGGGTTAGGGTTAGGGTTAGGATTAGGGTTAGGGTTAGGGTTAGGGTTAGGGTTAGGGTTAACTATTCAACTAGCTACATTGTTCCGGGACTTTTCAACTAGCTACTTTTTTCCGGAACTTTTCGACTGCACTCGGAATAAAACAACTAGTTGGAAAGTTCCATCGGAACGAAATAACTAGTTCAAAAGTTCCGCCGGAACAAAGTAAATGACGGAACATAGTGGCTGTTACACACTTAGTCTATTAAGATTTATTCCCACAAAATGGGGGAGGGGTTTGATTCGCCTTTCAACGCATGCACGTAGTCAATTAAAATATTTTCCCACAAAAAGGGGGAGGGGGCTTGATTCGCCGTTGAACGCATGCACTTAGTCAATTAAGATTGGAGTCAAAAGCACATAACACCTGTTCTGTGTTGACATTATAGCTTGTGTTTATGTAGTTTATTGAATGTCTTGACGGCGATATTTTGGCATGAACCGCCACTGATATCTGTGTGCAGTACACGCAAAATGGTTGTTAGAGGTTTCAGAAACAAACAACAATCAGTACGCCTATGACATGAATTGGAGAAACAACCATTTTGCAAAATTGATCTTTTTCTTTACAGACCTGTCCTATATCTTTCTTTATTGTAGCTTGATTAAAGGCATGTGACATGGACTACTCTTATCGGGTTGTAGAAATCCATCAGTTGATTCATTTACATTAACATAATCGTAATGATGAAGGAGATCTGTTATCCGCAATAATTATTGTTTGGCGGTGTTGCCTAGAAGTGAGAAATGAAAATTGCCACACGTTACAGCCACGAACGTGCAGGGAGTAAAGAACCAGATCTCCTGTAATATATTTAGGTTAATTTCGCTGCATTTTATATATATATGATATTTTTAAATTGAAATTGAAGATGATGTATAACAGCTTGTCGTCCAGTGGCAGGTTATATATCTATTATATATATACTTAGCAATTATGAATGTGATATATATATATATGTATCAATCTGATGCGTTACGCCTTTTTCAACAGATTTTTATATTTCGTTCTTATATCCCAAGTCAGGAGCCTGCAATTCAGTGGTTGTCGTTTGTTGCTGTGTTACATATTTGTTTTTCGTTCATTTTTTTGTGTGTACATTAATCAGTTCGTTTTCTCGTTTGGGATGCAGTTTGGTCTTTTAAGAATACTTATTAAATTTATTTTATCAATGAAAATTCAGAAATATATTTTAATTGTAAATGGTAAAATTTTGAAAGGGGAGATAATCAAGCATAAGTTGTTTATTCTTAGTAGCATTACACCACTGTTTTTTTTCAAATTTTGAACTTAGCAACTTTTGGACTGAGTAACATGACATATGAACACAACGAATTGCCTAAAAAACAGAGGAATATGTCAATGAGACAGCAATCAAACAACACAAAAAGAAACTGATATTTTTATATATAATATATATTCTATAAATACAAATTGATAATTTAATTGTACTTTTAGTTTGATGATTTTTAATTATTTATTTTTTAGATGTCTCATATAAAGAAAAGAAAGGTGCCATGCACTTTTGTAGTCCATCAAAATGGGAAAAAGAAAACAATAACTAAGTCATACAAACCTTTATCATCAATTGATAAAACTGCTGGTGCCAAAAATGATAAAGATGAAACTATAAATGCACAGGTGATGAACAATGAACCAGAAAGAAATGGTGATGTACAGCTGAACAATGAGCATGAAACACCTTTTACAGTTGACCCTAAAAATAGTATGTGAAGTGTTATTATTTTAAAGTGGCATTTATGATCTCCTTTAAGTAGAATTATGGGTTATAAGATGAATAAAGAGGCGTGCCATGAGTGCATTATATGCCCTTCATTTTTTCAATGAAAAAATGTCCATAACTCATCAATATCATATCAGAAATGTATTAAAAAATAAAGGAAGCTTATCTTAATAGATATAAACCATTCACCAAAGTTTCAAGTTTCAAAGGTTTAAGCCTTTTTTGAGTGATTCTCAGACGTGTTGATTACAGACGGACAGACAAACAACAATATACAATAAAACGAATGTTCTGTAAACGGGCTTATAAAATTGAATTTTTCAAGCCAGAAAGAACTTGAAAGTTGACCAAAAAATGGTATAAAAAAAAATTGATAATTCTACATATTCTGTCATCATAATTTTATTGGTATTTTTGAAAAGGTGCAAATGTGTTAACATCATTGATGAAGGTGACTGTAAAATATGTGTTGTAATTATTCATTAAGTATAAATATCATGCAAAAGATTGTCTAATTGGAATTTAATTTTGATATTTTTAGGTTGTTTTTTATACTTACAGTACCAAATACTTTAGTACTTTTTTTTAAGAATATGCTAAAGCCAAGTTCCAACGTTTAAACCATTGGTCAGAATTATGCAAGAAGCTGGTGTCTGCAGCAAAAGAAAAAGAAGCAGTAGTCGATTTTAAATGCCAGGATTGTGGAATTGAAAACCTTGATCTCTACCGATGCATAGATTGTATATCTTGGCCAGTTATATGTGAAAGTTGTCTGGAAATTAGGCATCAATTTCCACATTTACATGTTTTTGAGAAATGGATGGTAAGATTTTCCCCTTTTTTTAAAGAAAAACCATGTAAAATTAACTTGTAATTTAGTAAAGCAGATCTTTTCAGTAAGAATTTCTGAAATTAATAAAAATGTATGTGTGATGACAGCCCCCCTTCTTAATAAAGCATGAAGATACATGCAGATAATTGCTTTATGAAATATTTATCATAGACCAGGTTGTTTTTATGGTTTCATGTATTGATTTTTGTTATAAATGTATAAAATTAGAAATAGGTGTTGATTGATCATATTATTTCTGTTTGTTTAATTATTACAATTTTTGTGGAAATTGGCCATGCTTGGTTTAATTTATTTGAGGCATGATATCTGGATGTATTTTCTTTTTGTTGTCAATGTTTGTTATTTGGTTGGGGTCTCTTTCACCCCAATGTCTCTTCTTATTCATACTTATTGGCAGTTTAATATAATGTTTTTAGCTCACCTGGCCCACAGGGCCAAGTGAGCTTTTCTCATCACTTGGCGTCCGTCGTCCGTCGTCTGTCTTTGTCGTCGTCGTCGTCGTCCGTCGTCGTTAACTTTTACAAAAATCTTCTCCTCTGAAACTACTTGGCCAAATTTAACCAAACTTGGCCACAATCATCATTGGGGTATCTAGTTTAAATAATGTTTCCGGTGACCTGGCCAACCAACCAAGATGGCCACCATGGCTAAAAATAGAACATAGGGGTAAAATGTAGATTTTGGCTTATATCTCTGAAACCAAAGCCTTTAGAGCAAACCTGACACGGAATAAAATTGTTTTTCACGTCAAGATCTATCTGCCCTGAAATTTTCAGACCAATCAGACAACACGTTGTTGGGTTGCTGCCCCTGAATTGGTAATTTTAAGAAAATTTTGCAGCTTTTGGTTATTATCTTGAATATTATTATAGATAGAGATAAACTGTAAACAGCAAAAATGTACAGCAAAGTAAGATCTACAAATAAGTCAAACATGACCAAAATTGTCAATTGACCCCTTAAGGAGTTATTGCCCTTTATAGTAAATTTTTTACAATTTTCATAAATTTTGTAAATTTTTGTAAATTTTTACAAAATATTTTCCACTGTAACTACTGGGCCAAGTTCATTATAGATAGAGATAATAGTAAGGAGCAAGAATGTTCAGTAAAGTAAGATCTACAAACACATCACCATCACCAAAACACAATTTTGTCATGAATCCATCTGTGTCCTTTGTTTAATATGCACATAGACCAAGGTGAGCGACACAGGCTCTTTAGAGCCTCTAGTTTGCAGTTATTGGATTACAAAAAAAGGTAGTGATTTTATTAAGATCCTGGATTTCATAATTTAAAAGAAGTTACTGAACACAATTGATTCTTATATTCAACATACCCCTACCCCTGTGATAGCTTGATATATTAGTTTTTTTAAATTACAACAACCTATAAATTTGATGATATATGCACTGTATGATTATATAAAGAAGAGATTTTGGGTATTTTTTAATGCGACAATAATATAATAACATTGAAAAGCAAACCATTGATCTGAGTATCATTAAACATTATGGTTTTGTCTTTCCTCATGCACACACATTAACAATTGTTAAATTTAGCAGTAAGGGCAGTTGAAGAAGACCATTAAAATTAGTTCAAAACAATAGTTTAGGTTTTTATTGTAGACTTTGGTTGAACTAATAATAGTTTACTATAAGAATTATATCAAAGATTAGTATTATTTTAGTAATGATGAACCAATTAAAGGTAAATTGATTAAAACACATGCTTCTTTTATAGCATGGGGCATTTATAGGCTATGCACCTCCAACTAAGCCTTGGAAGAGAAGACAACATGACATGTGTACAACTGACTACATGAAAGAAATAGTAGTTATCGATGATAAAGGTATTCTTTATATAGTAACTAACATACTTTCTTTTGTAGCATTTCTTAGGTTGGATAAAGGTATCAATTACTTTTAAATGGACATTTGATATGATTTAGACAAAAAAATAAAAAAAATATATACATATACCAAATTGCAACTATTTTGACAGATTTTTCACCTGTAACATTCATTTATGATCCAAACAAAAGTTTCTATTTTGTGTTTATTTGGTAGATGAATCCTTATTTACTATAAAGTTCCATTAATTTGAATTTGAATCTATATCGAATCATAGAAAAATGGGTTCGAACCGACCTTCATACGATCCATGAGTCTGTTATGAGGAGTACCCAAATTGCATCCATGCTTAAATTCACATCCTTAGAAGTTAAATAAAAGGTGTTTTGTTTTATTTCTTCAATCATTTAGAACAATTTGACATAAGGTCATGCTTACTATTCAATTTTTAAGAAATGGATGCTCATTTCATATTTTATTTGCTCATTTTTAAAAGATGACCTTTTATTGATGTTGCATGGCGACGTTTTCATAGATTTTACTTTTTTCAGTGAATACTTTATCTGTTGATTTGTACTGTATTTTGTGAATATTTAGATATATATATACCTATATTATGCAAGTCTTTCAAATACTATTTGAAAGACTTGCATAATGTCAAATAATAAAAAAATACAAATTGTTTAGTCCCTAAGAAATCTTGTAAGATTTTCGCTGCTATTTTTGCTAAATAGGCGAAATTTGGGTACTGTGACATTAAATATTTTTTTTCAATTAAAATATTTAAAGTGATAGGTGGTCCAAAGTGGAATACACTAATTAACTTCTGTTTTTTAAGCATTTTTTTTGCAAGACTTGTATCTTTTAAAAACAATTTCTCTATTTATTGTTACCTGTAATAATTGTCTTTATTTTTCAGGTAGACAACATCTTAGAACAATTCAATTTTGTTCTTGTGAGGAGGAAGCAATTACCTTGTTGTCTACAATCTGTGGCCTGCCTCACCAAAAACACCTCATTTAGCCTTCCACATTGATTTACTTCGCTGGTTAAATGGTTTATTGCTCGAGTGCCATGTATCCGTGAAGGGGTTTTGTGAAGCTTTAAAAGCTAGACAACCAAAGTTGTACAAGATGTTGGTCACAAAAGAGGTTAATTTAATTAAGATTCAATACTAATGAGATTTATAGTTTTGCTGTTATAAAACCCTCAGCATATCCTATTGTTATATAACTTATATAAGGCATTTCAAAAAATAAATGACACTGTATACATTTGAAAGAATGAAAAGTACCAATAAAATATGTGTCTTGAAAAATTTAGATAATTATGTTGTTTATAAAGGATACAGTATTTTTTTACACATTTATATATAAAATGATGTGGTGTGATTGCCAATGAGACAACTATTCACAAGAGATCAAATGACACAGAAATTAACAACTATAGGTCACGGTACAGCCTTTAAGGTTTGGTTGGTGGTGGTGGTGAGGGTTTTATCTTTTCCCTTATAATCCATATAGCCACAATTGCGTATTCTTAAATTTAATTTTTAACTCTACTTTTAGGGAAAAGAAATTTATAAGAGTTTAATGGCAGAAACAATTCACCAATTTCGTCAGTTTGTATACCAAATGGACTATTTAACCAATAATTTTCCAGATCTAGATGATGGTTGTACCTGTCCAGCTTGTTTTGAGGTATAATTGATATAATGTGCTAGATTAACATTGAATGATTGATAAATTTTAATGAAATATTTGCCACAGTATAAAAGCAATAATCAGTAGAATACAATAGCCCACATGCAACACCATAAACAAAAAGAGGAACAACAATCAATCAATCACTGTACTATCAGATTATTGCATGGCATTTTTCATATCGCATGTATTATCAGTCCTAGGTTCAATATCAGCCCAAGAATCGCATGGCTCGAGGGCTGATATTGACCGAGGGCTGATAAAACATGCGATATGAAAAATGACGTGCTATGATCTTTTTATCATATACTTCAACAATGGAGAAAATAACAGATTAATATAATAAATCCTTTTACGTGGTTCTCAAATAGAAGTTCAAAGAGTGAAAAGTTTACAGACGTCGGACCCCAAAGGTAGTACATCCAAAATGAAATTCTATCAAATGCATCAACAGAGAAGAAAAACAACAGTATGATCTATTCTTATATGGACGATTAAAAAAAATTCAACAATAGATGTAATGAACACCGTTTGGAAAAGTCATCATTTTAAAGTAACTTTCAGAAATATGTTGGAATTTTTTTAAAATGCGTTTATTTTATCATTTGTTAGTTTGTTTGTTTGTTTTTTATTGAATTTTACACAATATACTTTCCTGTATCCAAATAATTGTTTTGTACCCTACTTTGTAATGTTTTTCACTGAAAAGTACCATTGGTGTGTATTTTCCGGAATTTCCCGAGTATAACCGGAATGCCATGCGATAAGGTTACGGAAAGGGCCATGAGATAATATTCGAAGCATGTGATAAACTTTTCATATCAGCCCTCTAAGCACCAATTCGAAAAAAACATGGAATTACGTTAATTTTATGCTATTATCATACGGTAAAAATCATATGTTATTTAGTGTAAGTATATGATAAAGTGATTTATCAATTTCTTTTGTTATTATCAACACTTTGAAACAGCTTCACAAAATTTTGAACTGAAATGATGCTTAGCGCACCTATGTTCATTCCTTAGCAAGAATCCATCTCTACTTAATACACTCCTTAAATGATGTTGACGTAAGTTTTTATTTATTTTAAATATTTATCTGATAATTTATCTGATAATTATTTTTAATTATCCGGTGCACTTTCATACAATTGACTGATATTTTAGTTTCTAGTAAAAACATTTTGCGTATGATTTTCATTATAACAGTAGATTAATATACCCCAAACATTTCTTTTTTAGACAGAAACCAGTATCTTTTGTTTTGATGCAGACTTTCAGTTGGTTCGGAAATCTTCATCTGGTAACCACTGGCTTGAACCAAAACACAAAGATAATTTTTTCGTTCAACAGGAATTGGTAGATGATTTCATAAAGAAATATGACACTCCAAAAATAGAAAAGGTATTTTGTGTTTCATATTTTATTTATTTACCATAGGCGGATCCATGGGGCCCAGCCCCCCCCCCCCCCCCCCCCCTTATGTGGGACAAAATTGATTGATTATGTAGGGAATTACTGAAGCAGTCAAGAGACCTGCATACATTTTTAAACCCTTTCACACCCATCCATACTAGCTAATTAAAGTTGCCTTCCATAAGTTCCATATATATGTTTAATTAAAATGCCTCATGAATTCTAGACATAAAAATCAAAGATGAAGAATTCCAAAAATTGTTTCCAAAATTTCTTCAAATTTAGGACTATTGCATTTGAGGAATAATATATTTTAGGTTTTTATTTTTAGTAGATATAAGAAGATGTGGTACGAGTGCCAATGAAACAACTCTCCATCCAAGTCAAAATTTATAAAAGTAAACCATTATAGGTCACAGTATGGTTTTCAACACGGAGCCTTGGATCACACCGAACAGTAAGCTATAAAGGGCCCCAAAACTTACTAGTGTAAAGCCATTCAAACGGGAAAACCAATGGTCTAATCTATATAAAAAACGAGAAACGAGAAACACTTATTTTAGTACATTTGAGACATATGGATATAAAAATAATTAATGCTGATTTTTTTTGTATTTGAAAAACGGCGAGTAGTTAAAAAAAAGATGAGAAATTGATAGCTTTTATATCTTTTTTCAGGAATGTAGCGATTTCCAAGCAGGAAATGACTTAAGATCCAAAGCAAAAAACAAGAAATTGTCGGGAACAGCAGTGTTTGGAGCTACCTGTAGACACGATTACCCTCAGAAGTTTTTTAGTTTAAAACATGGTGAAAAGTTAGTTCTATTATAGATAATTTTTAGAAAATGTAATTTTAAGGCCTTCCTTCCTTATTATGTTTTCAGATTTGTATGTCATTTGTTCTCCTTCCCATATCAGATAAATGTTTTTGTTTAGGATATTTGAACAAATGTTGTGGTTACATCAACTTGAAACTTAGAACATGCAGTCATTAATATGTGAACTTTCACCATATATGGCTTTAACCCTTATTTTATGGTTCATTAAACACAGAAGTAGGATACTGTGAAATTAGTTCATTTTCAGATTAAAATAATAATTTTTTTTATTTACCATGAAAACTGTGACCTCACCAGTTAGTATGTTCATGTAAGGCTAACTTTCCAAATTTATGCCTATTTATTTCACCTTATGTGTTTTATAGAAATATTTGCATATCATGTAATGTAATCAATTTTTAGATTGATGTTTGATAGAATCTTATGCAATATATTCAAATAAAAAAATCAATACAAATTTTATTTAAAGTCACAGTTCAAATAAAAGTCTATCAAAATACATTAAAAACTACACTAAAGTCGAAGTGATGTTGAAGGGTTTTAGACTACTGAAAGGTTTTTGTTGCTCATGACATAAATCTAAATTAAATGAGAATTGTATTCAGTGGTAAGGAGACGTGAATAGAAGAGAAAAGGATTATGGTTATGAAAGAATAATTTAATTTTGGATGTAACGCTTCTTCTGATTGGCTGACGATGTTTTGTTTATCAGCTCATAGACATAATGTAGTCAAGTGACCGTGACGTCTTCAACGTTTTTTCATGATTTACTCTGGTTTAAAATGGAATTTAGAATTAAATTATAAGGAATGACTGTAATATTTTTTCTGTCTATTCTAAATAACATAAAAAATGTGGTGCACACTTTAAAATAACACGCTACACGGGTTATTCAGTGTGCACCACTTTTTTGATGTTATTTCTTCATAGACAGAAAAAAAATTACAGTCATTCCTTACAGGGACATATGCAGTTTGAATTTGAATTCACTTAAAAATAGGAAACCAATTTTTTGTCATTTCAAGAAACATTTCTCTTTTTATTTTGTAGACTGGGATATGCTGTTTTTCTGATAGAACTGCTTTTAAGTGCAAACAAAGACAAACACCTGCACATCTCGTATGACATTGCATGTTTGTTAAAAAGACATCTAGAGGTTTGAAACTTTTTTCATTTGTACTGTATATAGTTTGGGCAGTAATGTAATTCAATTTATTAGAAAATACTAGAAAATTTACCCACGAATCTTAAAACTTCATTAAATAATTACAAAAAATTAAGCCATGCACAGCCTGGTAAGAAATTTTTATGATTTTTTTTTCATCAACATAGTAATATTTCACAAAATTTATACAGGACACCAAGACAGTATAAACTTTATGTAATAAATTCTCTGACAGTTTTAATGACACAGAGAGGTTACAAACTTATTGCAGTTGTGCATCTGATATCATATTATAGAAATGTTTCTAGGATTTCCTTCCATTATTTCGACTTGACATTTACTGGGTGTCATTTTAATAAATTTACAAAATACAGTATTAGTCAGTGACATTCCTTTCTCATATGATGTATAATCTAAATCCCTTAAACTTTACATAAATATTGCAGTCATATTGAAGTTGTAAATTTGCACTATTACAGTTAGATTTTTTTATCATTTGCAATCATACCACATCTAGTTTTATCAATTAGTTATTCAGCAGTTTGAATCAAGATCATTGAAACTTTATAAAAATGTTTACAGGAGTCTTAATTCGATTCAACACAATCTTTTTTTTTTTCAGAAAGCAGGGCGAAACGACATTTTAGAAAAAATTACATTTTCTATACCAATTTTCCACTGCTATGGACACAGTATTTCATGTCAAGTAAGATAATCTAATTTCACATGTTTGTTAAACTATTGGTTGGTTCAGTACATATTTGTATATGTAATTGTTATACATTAAAATGGAAACTTAAGAACTCACAAAACTTTAATTAGACATCAATTGACTGTGTTGCTCATATATCATGTACTCGCATATTGTGTTTATATATATTATACTAGAATGGTTTGAAAAGATTTTCAGTATATGTTAACATGAAAATTTTTTTTATAGCAAGTTTTAAGACCAAATATGTTGTTTTCTATATGGGTTTACTATGATATGATTTCTCTTTCTTAGCAACATTTTAAATTTTGAAGATTTTTTAATATACAAAACTTGGTATTCATATTTAAATGACTGTTGTTAGACATTTGTCTATAATATATTGAAGTTTATGTTTTAATATTTATATACTTGTAGATTTTGTATGGACCTAGGAGGACAGAAAATCATGGTCTTACAGACGGCGAAGGTATCGAAAGGTTATGGTCTTATTTGGGTGGATTTTCTTCTATCACAAAAGAGATGACGCCTGAAAATAGAACAGACCTGTTGACAGATGGCCTTATTTACTTCGGTCAGAAAATCAGAGATAAACTAGGTAATTACAGAAAATTGCAAATGTGTAATGGAGGAATGCTGCCTGTGACTTGTTGCATATAGATATAGGAAGATGTGGTATGAGTGCCAATGAGACAACTCTCCATCCAAGTCAAAATTTATAAAAGTAAACCATTATAGGTCAAAGTATATGCATGTTTATCATAATATAACAGCTAATGATTTCGTATTTATAAAAGGCAGATGAGACATTTCTTTAATGCCAGTTTTATCAAGTCAAATAAAAAAGTTTAAGATACTAAATTAATTTTGCTCCCTTGATTTAGAAAATTTTATTTTAGAATTGAGGGGAACATAGAAATTCTGCTTGTCCTTCCATCTGGTCAACAGTTAGCACTCACACATATAAAATTATTGCCAAATTTTTATAAAACTTGTATAATAGGTTTATATCAGCAATTTTAGAGAATCAAAATTTTATATTGATAATAAAACTTAATTCCAACATGCAGGTTACACATTGGTTATGAAATTCAAAAGATCAAAGAAAATTGAGGAAAACAGTGATGTGGCCATGAAGGAGATTGTATCAACTGTTCATGGTAAGAAACTATCTTTCAAAAATAAATAACTTGTTACTTTTATTTAGTTATTACTATTTAATGAATATCATGTGTCCTCATATGCTGAAGTTGATTATCTGTTCATATCATTTATAAAGGCATTATAAAAATCTTTAGATAAAAAACTTTTACCCAGAAACAAAACCAATCAACTCTTTTTATTGCTTTTGAGAAAGTGTTTCAATAAAATTTAGTTTTGTCTGCAATTCAGTCAACCAACTTCCTATCTTGGAACAGTTAACTGCCACAAATAGTTTGCTTAGTCATTTTAGCTCAAATTACCTAAGGAATGAGTTTTTGCCCTCACTTTGTGTCTGTTTTATGTAAAAAAAATGTTAAACACCTTATCTGAGACCAAAGCACAAATACAAACATCAAATATTATGATTAAGGATGCTTTCTTCACATTGAACAGCATTCCAACATGATTGAAGAAAAATATTTTTATCTATTTAATCCATTAATATTATAACCAAATGTTCAGGTTGAAAAAAAATTAAACCACAGATAATGTTAATTGTTACAATGAAATTTTTGTTGTATATTTATATAAGTTATGTGTAAAACATATGTGAAGTATATCAACTTGCAAACTATAATTCCATGTTTGTTTGTATTCAGACAAGGTTATTGGAAATGATAAGATTATCCAATGGATTGAAGAGGAAAAGTCTTCAGTGCAACACACTCAAAACAATGATGCAACAAGTAAGTTTTAATAATCCATATGTTTTAAATTTATATTTCAATGAAAAATGAAAGAAACTGTATCACACAACGCACTTATACATCTCCTATTTTCAAGTTTTGTCAAAACATGATCATTTTCTACTGTACTGTGTTCAAAATTAAAACGTTTACATGTCACATATATGAAAGTATCTCACAGTAAGACCTCCTTATATTTTAGTAAAAAACTCTTTTTTTTATAGTTAAGAGGACTCTGAATTAATTTTGATATAATTTCCATTCTAGACATATTGAGTATTAAAACTATATACATTGTCTTAAAATATCAAAATTTATTAGCCAGCTAGGATCAGAAACATGTAGATTGGTTTCGTAACATTTCTATCATGTTCGGCGCTGAGTACAATTTCTACTTCAAATTAGTAATATATTTTGAGATAATATTTGGTTGTTACATTATCTTTGTACACTGCAACTCTACCAACTGTTCCAAAACTAATATATGGGGTAGAAACAAAACATTTGGAATTAATAAAGGATGTCATAAAAATTAATTTTAAGCAAGCATTCTTTCCTTACTAATGCCATATAAACTCTATGTTTACACATATAGAAATCACAAACAAGGTTTTTTATATCAGAGGCTGTAAACTACTTTTATATTTAATACATTTGATTCTTGTAAATGCCAGTAAAAATTAATTTACCTTCTTCATTTGTGTTCGGTTTTTTTTTCCAGTTAAACTGAACAAGACAGATGAATATATTCTCAGTCTTCAAAGATATTACAGAATTGGGTATGTCAAAAAATAAACAGTACATTTTAAGGCCTCGATATCATATTGAATATAATATGATTACATATAACATTTCCATCATGCATCCTCCAGTACTCATCGTCTACTGAATAGAATGGTCATAGAAGTTCCACAATAATGACCAGTAAAATGTGAATAAATTATTATATTTGTTTTTGTTCATTATGTTGTACATAAATCAGGCCGTTATTTTTCTAAATTGCATATTAGTTTACATTTATCCTGCAATCAGCCAACTATTGTACAAATAACAGGTACACAAATAAAGTTTTGCTTTATTTGTACTTGTACAACAGGAAACTCACTAAAACTGGAGGTGATCTAAGGATAAGCAGATCCTGCTCCACATGTGGCACCCATTACAAAATTACTCATTTTAGTACAAACCCAGAGTTAAGTCTAATTTGGTTGGTAACTTTCAAGGAAAAAGGAACAGCATTGTAGTTACAACGATATTATTAAAAATCATGTTGAAAATGTACAATATTGACCATGCATATATTATGATTGACAGAATATACCAATAGTACATTCCATTTATTTTTATAGTGATTCCATTGTTTGATGATCAAAGTGTTTATTAGTGTTCACATCTTAGGTGTTTTTATGGAAAGTGGTCTCATTAGCAATATATTAACTAATCATGCCAGATGTCTTTATTTATAAATGATTTTCTCTAATTCTATGGAAATATATCCCTTTCCGAACCCATTGTATAAAAAAATTTAATCAATGTGTGGTTGTGTGATCTCAGAAGATGACTGGCTGAGTTTAAGGGTCATAACCTTTCTCAGCTCTCTGAAATGATCAAAATGTTCTAACAAGTGTTAATAAAATTGACAACTTCATGGAAAGTGGAAGGCACTCGAAGGGGATTTTAGTTTAGAAAAAAAGGAAAATTTTTATCATTAGAGAAACAGATTATTACATAGTTACGCGTGGATTATCAGATTTATCCAATCTCGATCCAATCTTGCCGAGGCTCGGACTTTAAAATTGATAATTTAACTATCTTGATTGGACAAATCCAATAATCCACTTGTATCAATGTAATAATCTATATTTATATTGGTTGTGATTAGGGCTACAACATGACTGCTACCAAAAATGATTACTCATTTAAGAGAAATAAATAGAAGATTTTTATGTACTTTTAAGTAATAAGCTTTTTGTAAGTATATATATTTATTTCTAATATTGTCATTCTTAATTTTCAGATATGAACAACTAGATGACAAGTTCAAGGAAGAAAAAGAGAGGTGCATGATTACGAAAACTTTAAGAAATTGTAATAATATTTATTTTGACAGCAATTGCCTTTTTTTTTACAACCTGGCATGATGCATATTTAGGGCAATTATATACAGTATCATTTAAAATATAAAACAGAAGGGAAAATAACATTCTTATCTATGTCATCCTTTAATAAAAGTTTAAAAGATATAAAACTAGTTAACATGATGATCTAAGATTAATTGTGACCTTATTTAAATACCTTAGAAATGTTTTAACATGTATGAACATTTGAAAACACGCATATTACACTAGAAAAGCTACACTTTTGTGCAAATATTCTGAATTTTGTACACTTTTTGTCTTCAGTTTTTACCCAATATAAAGTACATACATGGAAAGTCAGGCTTGTTTTGCCGACCAGTTGAGTCTTACTACTCACTTGTGATCTCATGAGCAGAGTTTTGCCTGGAAATTCCGTGAAATGACTGCTGATTATGTTAAAAAGTTGTTTTGAAAGGCATATATAACAATATATAAAAATAACTAAACATTTTGATGTATAAATTTTTTATTCAAATATCTTTACAGACTAGAGAAAACCTTATCAACATTTGAAAAAAAGAACAAGACCTCTAGATTGCATCAAACTGACGAAAACTATAAGAAGGATGTAAAGATTGTGAAAGAAAAACAAAAAAAATTACAACTTGTAACCCTGAAGAAACATGTTTCAGAGAGGCACTATTTACTACGGTTATTGCGCAAATATTCAAGTAAGCAAAGTTTTATTACCCATAGAACGAAGGGAAGGGAATCTAAAACTTCCTTTATGTAAGCATGCTCAATCCTGTGATGCTTTTTTCATTTATCTCTAACAACTTCATGTTTACTGAACTTACTATGCTTTATTTTACAAATAATGGCCATGTATGAAATTTTAGTAACATTTTTCGGTAGAACTGCAAATCAGATCTTCCAGAAATTTTTATCATGCAGGCTTCCTCGTGTAATGCACTTTTTCATTCCATACTTATAAAAAAGAAGATGTGGTATGATTGCCAATGAGACAACTCCCCACAAGACACCAAATGACACAGAAATTAACAACTATAGGTCACCGTATGGCCTTCAACAATGAGCAAAGCCCATACCGCACAGTCAGCTATAAAAGGCCCCGAAATGACAATGTAAAACAATTCAAATGAGAAAACTAACGGCCTAATTTATGTACAAAAAATGAACGAAAAACAAATATGTAACACATAAACAAACGACAACCACTGAATTACAGGCTCCTGACTTGGGACAGGCACATACATACAGAATGTGGCTGGGTTTAACATGTTAGCGGGATCCCAACCCTCCCCTAACCTGGAACAGTGGTGTAACAGTACAACATAAGAACGAACTATAAAAATCAGTTGAAAGAGGCTAAACTCATCAGATGGATAAAAATACAAATACTACAAATACAAGTGGGCATGGCCGGGTACTTGTACATCCAAACAACAAAAAGACACTAAGTACAGATCTGAGAGTACTCGCAGTTACTGACAGCTAGTTCAAAGCCACTAACAACTAATAAAAAAAAAATATTATGCATCTAAGACTAAATTATCAATCCGTACACATCCAACATCCAATGGATTTAGTGTTAAGACATCATAAACAGTCAGAGAAAAACATGACCTTGTGCAATGCCAAGATACAGGTATCGACAGATTGTAGATCCATAAATGTGTATATGTAAATAACAATAATATTTAGTTTGCTTTTAATTTACTGATAACAAAATCAATATCAGTACCAATAAAAACAATATTTAATAATCTATGTTGAACTTGCCTTCTTTGAGCTAACATAACTTTATGATATTTTTTGCATAACGACAATTTATAAAAATTGAAATAAGATTTTTCTCAATACAAAGAATTAAAACACTTCATAACACCCTTAAATTTAGTATCAACAATAATGTTAGCAGGCTTTACTGTGTGATTGGTTCCTTTAAAATTCATTGGTCTTCAACTTCCATCGAAACTGAATGCATATACTGACCATGACATTATTTAAGAAATAATTCATGGAAGCCATAGATTTGTTGGAAATTTACACATGGCCTGGGCCGTGATATTCGAATTTTATCCTGAGCATTAGTGAGGGATAAAATTAACGAATATCACGGCCCAGGCCATGTGTAAATTTCCAACAAATCTATGGCTTCCATGAATTATTTTGATTCTAAGAGGACAAATACGGTCATTAAAAAACTGAAGTGAGAGTGGGTATGCCGTATGTGGGGCTGTTCTTTTTTACTCCATTTTAGATAAAGCTAAAAAATTCTAATAAATCTGTAGCTTGCAAAAATATTTCGTGAATAACAGCTAGAAAAATTGTTCTTAATTCTTTTAATTTTCAAACCCAACATTTACCATTTTTGATTACATGTTTTTCTCGTAATCCAAAGTTGACATTTCCTTACTAAGGAGCCAAAAGCATTAGTGGACTTTCGCGGAATTTTATTTTATTTGGATTTTGTAGATTTCACCGAGCACTTGTGCATTTATTCCTTTTTGTTATGCATCCGAATAAGAATAAAAGTTCTGTAGTCTTTTTTTTAATTGCAATTTTAAAAAAAAAATCGGCATAGCGTTTGCAAATAGGTTTCGATACATGTGGATTTACATGGGAGGTATATTGTAACATCCATTATTATGTATATCTCGGAGTTTGCGCTAAGTATAGATATATCGAGAATTTTATCACGGTGTTGTTTACAAAGCGAAAGAAGCACGTCATATTAGAATAAATATTTAAACATTATTTCTTGTTGACATCCAATTCCTCTATGAAAGATGTGTTAGCACTGTATACTTATCTCATATGTATAACACTATATAATACTATAATATTGTACATTTTATTGATATTTCAGAAGGACAGGCTGTTTTCATTAAACTGTCAAAACAGTTAAAGTGCATATCAAAAAAAATTCACAAATCCATTGCAGCTTACAACATGATTGGGGATTCCTCTGAAGGTTTACCAGAGCAGATCACTTTTGATACTGTCAAGGACATTGACAGTGAAATTTATAAATGCATGGTAGATTTGGAGGTTGTGTCAGATATCCCAAACACAATAAAACAGGAAATTATTCAACTGAAATGCCTCATTGATCGAGCCATCGAAGAACAAACTTTGCTCAAGCAAGAAATGAGGTCTGTCACTAATTGGTACAAACATCAGTACAATATTGTGAAAGTAAAACTAGGGGAACATCCAACTGCAGGAGAAACTGCATTCTTAATAAAAGAAGGAATGTACTATGAAATGGTTATTATAAGATTAAACAGGCAGTTTTCAGAGTACATTGGGGAAGTGTCTGTTGAATCTCAGTTAACTGATAGCATATTGACTGATGATCATGAAAGGATGCAACAAATGTTGAAAGAAATGGCTATATCAGTTGAGGACATTGAAAGTGATGATGAGGAAGAGAGTAGTGATGAAGAAGACATGGAGGACCTCTAAAACTGTCTTTCTCTTAGCGTTCCTTCTGGGCATACTTTTTTGGATATTATAATAAAATTACTGTGATTTTCTTATTTTCAATGTATTTAAACAAAAAACAGCTTTAAACAATAAGAAAATACAAAATTTAACAGAGGTAAATGTGCTTGCAAAGTATGTCAGATGATTCCTCATCAAATCATCACTCTTTAATGAGAATTTCAACTTTTTAATCTAATTTAAAAATGGTTATTTAATATCCAAAACATTGGAATTCATCTTTTATGATTATATAAAATTTCATTCTGGAATCGATATCTACAGAAGTATTTCTAAAAACAACTGTCTATCTAAAATATTTAGTAGTATCCTGAATAATAGGCTAAAAACGTTTATGTAAGTCGGTGTTTGGTCTATCAGTTTTGTTTCAGGAAAAAACAAATAATATTCAACACTTTTTTTTTATTTTGAAAGCTTTGATTAATAAATATTTGCATAAAAAATATCAAAAAATATATGCATATTCTGTGGACTTATAATTTATTCTAGGCTACAAACTAAAGTTATTATTTGGCTATTAAAAGGAATTGTTTGAAATCTTTAAGATGTTAGATGCACAGAATGTATATTCATGGTATATATATTTCAAAGATATTATGATTCTGAAAATTAATTGTCATGCAAAACTATAAAGGAAATTGAATCTATAGAAATGTTATTAAAGCAAGAATTTCTAAATATTATAATATGATATAGAAGATGAATTTCATTTCTTTTTCCAAAAGAAATAAAAATGAAAAAAAAGTTACTTCTCTGAAATTATTTCTAAAAAAGCTGACTTTATGAGTTGTACTTACAAAAAAAAGTTACAATACATACTCAAGCCCTCAAATTACAAAATTTAGGTTCCTTTTCTAAATCATCAATGGAACTGAGGACAAGTGACTCTTGATAAACTTATTGTTATAAGATTTGTTGTTTGTTGTATATTATGCTGTAATTTGCATTTTGTTTGTAACACAGCAATAAAGAAGCTGAGTTTTTTTATACTATACAACAATAAAGATTAACTAATAATCTTAACAGTTTCAAAACATTGTATTGGAAATAAAGGTTTTTGCTTAAGATGGAGTGAATGTGTCAGGAGCAAAATTGAGAACTACAAAAATTGGATCTCAGAAGTTCATCAACTGATTGGTATAATATTTGTTGTATACATGTTGTAACTTGCATTTTGTTTTACCACAAGCTGAATTTTATATTCTTTACTGCAATACATATTAATTAATGAAAATAAGAGTTTAAGGCTATTGTATTGAAAAATTACTTTTGTTAAAGAGAGACAGAGAGAAACTGTAAGCAACGAAATTGTTTCTTATTGGATGCATAATAATTTTTTATTCAATGAGCCTTTATGTAAACCCCCAAAAAAAAACACTGTATACATAAATTAAATGTACAATTTCTTTAATAAATATAATTACTTGCATCATACACTGTTTCTGTTTCTCAAAACTACAACTAACGCAATGCTTCTCAGCATAGTTAGGTCCCCTCTAATTATAAATTTGCAGCCATTCTGTCACACTAAAGTCATGGATCATTAATGTCTTTTTCAACTATTGTATACCAATGACAATATGTTTTGTATATTCCCTGAAAAGTGTGAAAAACACTTTACAATGCAATTTATGACTGGAGAATCCATTTAGTATAAAAATAAGATGTGGTATATGATTGCCATTAAAACAACTCTCCACAAGAGAGAAATAAACAACTATAGGGCACTGTACAGCTGCAGTCTTCATTAATGAGCAAACTCCATTCTTCATGGTCAGCACAAAGGGCCATTTTCATCATTTCTCTGACAATTTAAACTGTTGATGACCAATGCATAACCTAGCAGTCAAAACCTGATGAAAAAAATATAGTATTGAGTTTCAAATCATGTTACAAAATCACTATAAGCACATGTAATAAGCCATCAGTGAATCGAAGGCACATCACTTTTATTTCTGTTTGTCATCTCAAATTCACAGAGATGCCTTAATCATGGAGCAAAATTTTTCATCTCACAACAAATTTACTAAAAGAGTTATCTCCCCGTATATGGCTTATTTAAAAAAATGCATTGGCAAAACACAAATATTTGGTATTTGATAAAACAGACTAAATAATGCAATTCGCCAATTAAGTTTATTCCGTTCAATACACAGTCTTACACAAAAATTGCCAACATGTCTCATAACTTGTAGATTTATGCAATGAACTAGTCCGATTGTGTACTGCTATATTTCTGAATCCAAGATGGTAGTATACACTTAATATATCTTAAGATATGTATAAGCCAGTAGTCAAAAGTCTGGGACTGGTCATCTGCATTAAGTAAGCCAAGCTCTGGATGGTGAACAACATCAGTGAGAAGAACACATTTTAGACGATAGGACGTTCTTGTGGCTTTTTAAATGCCATTATCAAATACCCAAATGCATATTCTGGTCAAGAAGGGTTAGGGTTAGGGTTAGGGTTAGGGTTAGGGTTAGGGTATTGAGTTTCAAATCATGTTACAAAATCACTATAAGCACATGTAATAAGCCATCAGTGAATCGAAGGCACATCACTTTTATTTCTGTTTGTCATCTTAAATTCACAGAGATGCCTTAATCATGGAGCAAAATTTTTCATCTCACAACAAATTTACTAAAAGAGTTATCTCCCCGTATATGGCTTATTTAAAACAATGCATTGGCAAAACACAAATATTTGGTATTTGATAAAACAGACTAAATAATGCAATTCGCCAATTAAGTTTATTCCGTTCAATACACAGTCTTACACAAAAATTGCCAACATGTCTCATAACTTGTAGATTTATGCAATGAACTAGTCCGATTGTGTACTGCTATATTTCTGAATCCAAGATGGTAGTATACACTTAATATATCTTAAGATATGTATAAGCCAGTAGTCAAAAGTCTGGGACTGGTCATCTGCATTAAGTAAGCCAAGCTCTGGATGGTGAACAACATCAGTGAGAAGAACACATTTTAGACGATAGGACGTTCTTGTGGCTTTTTAAATGCCATTATCAAATACCCAAATGCATATTCTGGTCAAGAAGGGTTAGGGTTAGGGTTAGGGTTAGGGTTAGGGTTAGGGTTAGGGTATTGAGTTTCAAATCATGTTACAAAACCCTAGGCAACACCGCCAAACAATAATTATTGCGGATAACAGATCTCCTTCATCATTACGATTATGCTAATGTAAATGAATCAACTGATGGATTTCTACAACCCGATAAGAGTAGTCCATGTCACATGCCTTTCATCAAGCTACAATAAAGAAAGATATAGGACAGGTCTGCAAAGAAAGATATAGGACAGGTCTGTAAAGAAAAAGATAAATTTTGCAAAATGGTTGTTTCTCCAATTCATGTCATAGGCGTACTGATTGTTGTTTGTTTCTGAAACCTCTAACAACCATTTTGCGTGTACTGCACACAGATATCAGTGGCGGTTCATGCCAAAATATCGCCGTCAAGACATTCAATAAACTACATAAACACAAGCTATAATGTCAACACAGAACAGGTGTTATGTGCTTTTGACTCCAATCTTAATTGACTAAGTGCATGCGTTCAACGGCGAATCAAGCCCCCTCCCCCTTTTTGTGGGAAAATATTTTAATTGACTACGTGCATGCGTTGAAAGGCGAATCAAACCCCTCCCCCATTTTGTGGGAATAAATCTTAATAGACTAAGTGTGTAACAGCCACTATGTTCCGTCATTTACTTTGTTCCGGCGGAACTTTTGAACTAGTTATTTCGTTCCGATGGAACTTTCCAACTAGTTGTTTTATTCCGAGTGCAGTCGAAAAGTTCCGGAAAAAAGTAGCTAGTTGAAAAGTCCCGGAACAATGTAGCTAGTTGAATAGTTAACCCTAACCCTACCCCTAACCCTAACCCTAACCCTAACCCTAACCCTAACCCTAATCCTAACCCTAACCCTAACCCTAACCCTAACCCTAACCCTAACCTAACCTAACCCTAACCCTAACCCTAACCTCAACCCTAACCCTAACCCTAACCCTAACCCTAACCTAACCCTAACCTAACCTAACCTAACCTAACCCTAACCCTAACCCTAACCCTAACCCTAACCTAACCACAACCCTAACCCTAACCCTAACAAAGAGGAACTTTGTGACTAGTTGATAAGTTCCGTTTGACTTTTGTGGCTAGTATCTTTGTTCCCCTTTGAAAAGGTTCAAAGATAATATGTTGCGCTTTTACTTTGCATCAATTCTCCAAATGGAACTGTGTGACTGGTTGATAAGTTCCGTTGGAACTTTTGGGCTAGTTTGTTAGTTCCGGTTTTGACTTATTTGCCAAAGAGGAACTTTGTGGCTAGTTGATAAGTTCCTTTTGACTTTTGTAATCAGTATCTTGGTTTCCCTTTGAAAGGTTCAAATATAATATGTTGCGCCTTTACTTTGCATCAATTCTCCAAATGGAACTTTCTGCCTGGTTGATAAGTTCCGTTTGAACTTTTGTGCTAGTTTGTTAGTTTCGGTATTGACTAATTTGGCAAAAAGGAACTTTCTAACTAGTTGATATGTTCCGTTGGGACTTTTCAACTAGTCACTTTGTTCCGGTGGAACTTTTAAACCAGAGGAAGAACAAAGTAACTAGTTAATAAGTTCCTCCGGAACTTTTCGGCTAGTTAGTTCTTTCCGCCCGGAACTTTCCAACGTCGGAACAAAAGAGCATTTACAAGTGCATGTGTTCAAAAGCGAATCAGGCCCCTCCCCCTTTTTGTTGGAAAATATCTTAATTGACTAAGTGCATGCGTTAAAAGGCCAATCAAACCCCCTCCTCCTTTTTGTGGGAAAATTATGGTTGCTTATATAATGAATCACTGAAGCATGAATGGAGCGAACTGTACCCCCTCTTAATGCAGTCAGTGGATCCGCCACTGCCGTTAAGCACCATGCAACGACTCAGGTTCACACCCGGTGTTGA